CTGATGTCTGGTCTCAGTGTCTCCTGCTGCCGTCCATTTCCTCCTTTTCCTATGGCAGTGCACTGAAGGGGTCTCTTCCTCCTGAGGATCCGAGACAGTTCGTCTCTAAGTCACAGAAAGCTTGTTCCCAACGGGAGGGCAGTTGCCTGAGAGGAACTTTCAGTGAGTGAAGATCTTCGTCAGGGAGAGGAGAAAGAACATGACAGGGATGGAGGGAGCCTGGTTCAAAGACCAGCTGGGCAACGTTGGGCAAGTTACTGAACCTCTTGGACTTCTGTCTCAACTGCAAAGTGGGGTCATGCTTACCTCGGCGGTTCCGAGGATTGATGGTGGTGGAAGTAAAGAACTTGATATTATGCTCAGGTCATTAGCACCTCATGAACAGTGGTTGTTACCGCGTTGCCATTATGAAAAGGCATCCCCAGAGCAGGACAGGAAGATGTCGGGCAGGTGAGGCACGTAGAGTAGAACACTTGAGGAGGCCTGGCTCTCAGGGTTGTGTGGGTGCACCTCGAGCGAGCTGAGAGTGGATGCCTCCTGAAATTTCCTGCCCGAAGCACCTCACCCTCGTCCCTGCCTTGCTGCAGACTTCCAAGTTTGAGACCCCAGAGCAGAGTGAGTTGTGAAGCGCAAGGTCTGGCCACCAAGTGGCACCAGGTCCAAACCCTGCCCACCCACTTGGAGTTGTCCTTCCTGCGGGCAAGGAGGATTCTGGAAGACCCCTGGTGGGGCTGTGCATTGGCTGCCCTCAGCTTTGGGAAGCCTGGGGTCCTTAAGATATAGGTTTTGTTGGGGAGTCTGGGTGGCTCAGTCGGGTAAGCGTCCGTCTTCAGCTCAGGTCATGATCCCAGGGTCCTGGGATCAGACACTGAGACCAGACATCAGCCCTGTGTCCGGCTCCCTGCTCAGTGGGGAGTCTGCTTCTCCCTCTCCCACTACCTCTTCCCCAGCTCTCTCCTTCTTGCTCTCTCACAAATAAATAAATAAAATCTTAAAAAAAAAAAAAACCCAAAGGTTTTGTCCTGGGCTTAGGTAGGGGTGGGGCTAGATGTGGGGGTGCTGTCTCTGTCTGGGCTCCATGTGCTACATCCTTCTGCAGCTGAGCCTCAGGGAGAAGGAAGAGGAGAGCCTGCAGGGAGGTGTTCTGCTAACCCTGCCTGCAGGTTGGCTAGGGACTGGGGTGAGGGACAGAAAGGTGAGCTCAGCAGTGGGCCCTATAGGACCTGGGTGCCAAGCCCAGTATTGCCATGGACCCCACTGTGAGAGGCTGGGCGTCATACCTCTCTATACCTCAGTTTCCACGCCTGTGAAACAGGGAGGGAGGGAGATGGTGTCTGAAGTCCTACTCAGAGCTGGTGTTCTGAGGAGTGGTGTGCAAGGATGGGGTGTGTCCTGGCCCAAGTCCAAGCAAAGATGGAGGTTCGAGACCTCGGCTCCACAAGGTCCGGGGGTGCTGCATTGTCAGTAGTGAGCATGGTCAGGGGGCCGGGGAAGAGTGAGGGGCTCTCTTGGTTAGCTCACTCACTTGATATTTGCTGAGGGCCTACAGTGTGCCAGGCCCGGTTCTAGGCTCTGGGGGCTATGGGAACTTACGTGGTAGCAGGGAAGGAAGACCTTAAGTGAGATCAGGAAGTAAAATGCATAGTGTTGGAGAGTGAGGGGTTCTAAGAAGAAAAATAAACCATGCAACAGGGACAAAATATGTGTTTGAGTGGGTGTGCCCAAGGTGGGCTAACAGCCCAGGCCGAGTGGGGCTCTCTGGGTGTTGGCTCTGGCTCAGCCACGTCAGGACCCACAGCTCGGGTGCTCTGGGAGCTTCCCTACAGCATCGCTGGGGGCCTGGGGCAGGGGCAGTGTCAGGGGGAGCCTGCCCTCATGCTACCTGTCCCTTGCCTTTTTCATTCCCAGTAGCCCCATCCCTGGCGGCGCCTAGGAAACAGAGAAGCAGGTCTTCAATCCTGGGAGGACTGGGATGGAGGAGAGGGCTGGGGAGCTCGGCATGCATGCTGGGCTGTGTTTGCAAATACTGCAGGGGGCTGGGGGGACACTGGGTGTTTAGCTCCAGAGGGGCTTTTGGAAATTTTTACCTTCTCAGGGAGCCCCTGGACCAGTATGTTGAAGGCATCTGCTGGCTGGCCCTGTGGCCGGCCTCTAGCTGGCCCGGGGAAGGGGTGGGGACAGAGGGCCTGGTGCTCAGTTGATTGCTGGCCAGGAGGGAAGTTTCTCTTGCCGTGCTGAGGCCTGTGCTTTCTAATATTGACTCATCTCCCTGGTCTGTGCTGTGCCAGACTGGGGAGGGGTGGAGCAGGAGGGTCAATGTGGGGTAGGGTGGGCCTTGGGAGTGTGCAGGGTAGAGATGAGAAATAACAGCTAACATTTACTGAGAGCTTTCTAAGTGCCAGGCCCTGTTCTAAGTGCTTAATGTGCTCCGTCTCATTTGGCGCCCACAAAAAAGCGCTCTGCAGGCCTGGTGAGGAGCAGCAAGGACAAGGTGACCTGTTCAGGTTCACACAGTTAGTAGTAGAGCGAGTCAGGACATGGCCCTGGCGGTCGATGGCTGACGCTGTTAGCTTAGACCCGTGGTTTTCGAAGTGTCATCCTCAGGGCCGGAAACCTTTGAGAAATACACATTTTTGGGTCCCGCTGTAGGTCCCCTGGATTAGACCCTCTGGGCAGGGCCTGTCCCCTGTGTGCCCACAGCCCTCCAGGTGATTCTGAGGGCTGTGCGAGACTGCCGGCCAACATTCTGTTCTGCCCAGAGTCTGGGCCTCTTAGGAGGCTTTCCCTAGAGCAGGACGAGGGGCTCTTTAGGGCCTATCATGGGCCTGGGGCAGGTGCTTTCCCTCCCTCTTCTCTGTCCCACCCCATTTCTGTCCTTTCTGACCACCCCCCATCTCGGCAGGCTGGTTAAGAGTGAGGGCTTTGGAGTTGACAGATCTGGATTCAAATTGCAGTTCCGTGGTATAGACTCTGCATATAGAAGGTCCCTGTGATCTGCCCTGCTGGAGTGCTCCTCCTCCCCTGGAGGCCAGAGCAGCCCAGAGAGGATGGGCTTGGGCCTTCCCGCCTAGCACGGTCTCCACCGGAGCGTTGCAGAGCCTTGGACCAGAAGGGAGAGGTGGGGGGTCAGGGGCCAGTGCTGCCGAGGACTCCCCTGGTTGGGGCTGGTGGCTTTTGGAGGCTGAAGGGAGAACCTGGCCCCGATTAGCGGGCAGCTCCTGGAGCTGAGCCTGGGTCAGGGGTCCCTGCTTGGTGGCCTGTGGCTCGGGAGTGGGGGCTGGGAGGGGGCTGGGGGAGGCCTGGGGTTGGGCTGGGAGGGAGTGGAATGTGGCATCGTTACTTCTCCAGAGCCTGCTCAGGCTCCAGGTGGGCTGACCTGGGGGCTGGGAGGGCCCAGCTGACTTGCCTTCCCATATCCTTCTCTGTTCCTGGGTCCTGTCCTCCCTCAACCATCTAAGTTGCCTTGGCTACTTAGGAAGTTTCATCCCCTGGAAAGAAGTTCTGGCCTTAGCCTCCCATCCTCCAGGCCGTTGGGGTAAAGGAGTCCCGCCGTTTCCTGAAAGAGCCCCGCTACCTTGATCTCTGCCAGCTTTCTTCCTCCACGCCTTGGTCCCGCTCTCCTCCCTGACACCAGAACCTCTCAGAGGCCGTTCTGTCCGTTCCCCTGTCTTCCTCAGGGCTGAGGAGCTCACCAGCAAGGGGGTTAGGGCGGGCATTTCCTATTCTGAGACACTGTATCCTAAGCTAGTCTCTGCTCATCCTGGCAAAGGCTGGTTTCCTCACCTTCACGGTCAAGCTCATGTCCTTCTGGGAGATTCAGGGGCCCCTGGAACCACTTCACTGTGTCGGGAACGGAGCCCTAGGGACTGGAGGCAGGAGGTGGACCTGGAGTGGCAAGTTTCCCTCGTGTTATGGGCGAGTCCAAGGAGCCTTTCAGGATGCCGTTAGTAGGAAGCATGTCTGTTGGTTCTGGCTGGGAAAGGGTGGCACTGGCACGAGGGACAGGCTCAGTCCACGGGTGTTCATTGGAGGCCCTCTACACATCCTTTCCTGTCCCTGGCATGAGGGATATGGTAGCCGAGCTGCTTATAACGCTGCTTTGGATCTGTTTAGGAGGCAGGTGGGATAAGACTCACAGGACAATATTGGGGAACAAGACATATTCCCATGATGAGATTATTTATACCCTAAGGACCAGATACGTAGCCCAGAGGGCAGGCTTATTGGAGTTCCAAGGTGGGAGGGAGTCCTCCTTGCACGGTGTCCAGGAAGGGCCTTGTGGGGGAGGAGAGCTTGTCGGAAAAGAGCATGGGTGGCGGAGCCTTTCCACAAGCAAAGGCCCGGATGCGTGAATAAGGAAGGGGATCGAGGTGACAGGTCTGGATGGGGCCGAGTTTTGGGGCATGGACACAGGTCTGCGAGCAGGCAGGGCTAATGGTGGAGGGCCTTGAAAAGCCCGCCGGAGTTAAGATTCCGGCAGGCCTCATCCTGGGCTGTGGTGATTTCACACAAAGAGTGTGAAGCACAGAGTCTCAGGATGGGGTACAAATCCTGTTGTTGCCAGTGGTAGTTGATGACTTTGGACCACTCATTTAACTTCTCCTTTTCTGTGAAGTGGGGCTCACAGGTGCTAATGGGACCCACCTGCCGGGTTCTTGTCATGAATAAATGAGCCGGTGCTGGTGAAGAAGTCTGGCCCATAGGAGCAGGCATGACTTTTACCTGCTCTGTGTCCCTTTTTGAGGAGTCAGCACTGAGTCAGAGGCCTTGCTGGGGTTTGTCGAGCTCGGTGGTTCTAGTACCAGTAGGATTGTTTTTCATTTTCCAAACCTGGTTTCCCGAGCTTGGGGCTAGCTAGGTTAAGTCTGAGCCTTGGGTTGGCGCCATGGGCCCTGCCTCAGGGGGCATTTTGCCCCATCAGAGCCACCAGCCCTGGGGACAGAGCCAGTCCATGGCTGTTCGCCCTGAGGCCTCACACTGTTTTCTCCCTGTGTTCACAGCCCATCAACACTGAGAGTGCACCGAAGAATGTAGCCAACACGGTGAGTGACAGCAGGTGTGGTGGGTGGCAGGGAACATCCCGGGCAAGCATGGGGAGCCCAGAAGGCAGAAGGGCGATTTTGGGGGAAGTGAACACATACATTTGGGGACATCCTTTTGGAGTAGATTTGAGGAACTTGGGGGAAAGTGATGGGGATGTGGGTCATGTTGGGAGCCGGGCATGTGACCTCACTCGTGTGTTCGGAAATGGATTGCTAGGGAAGTAGGCAGGCAGGTGGGAGAGGCCAGTGGTTAAATGTGGGTTTCTTTATTAAATATGTAGAATGCGAGAAAGCCGGGCAGATGTTTCCAAACAGATCTTTCTGACTTCGCAGAAAGACAGACAGTTTCCCAATTTCCTCAAGGCTGCCTGGAGGAGGAAGGGAAGAGAGTGGGTGGGTCCTGCGGTGGAGAAGCTGAAGTCAGCAGCCGAGGGGCATCTCCTGGCCGTGGCTCATGCGCAGTAATGGGCTTACGGTTGGAGGGCTTGCGTTCGGACTCTACCTCCTCCAAGCTTCTGATTGTGCGACCGTAGGCAAGTCATGGGCCTGTGTGTGCCTCCGTGTTCTCACGTGCCAAATGGGAACAGGAAGATCTCCCAGCATAGTGGTTGTGAGACACAGGTGAGAAGGTTGGCTAGCTCTGAGGGGCTTTTAGTGGACAAAGGAAAGCTAAACAAACAGCAAAGTTCTCTCCCAGGCCCGTCTGCCAACCCCCTCACCCCTGCCAAAGCCAGGAGGTGAAAGACCAGGGTGCTTCTGATTCCCTTCCTTGACTCCCCACTCTGACTGCCTTTTCTCCATCTCCAGGGAGAAGGAGCTTTCCGGGGTGGAAACACACGGAAAAGCCTTGAGGAAGACGTAAGTATGGGGATGGGGAAGCGGAGGATGTGTCTGGGCTCATGGTGCCCTAAGGGGATTGCCGGTGTGGGTCATGTCTCACACCTGTCTCGTTTGGTGGAGCATCCCTTGCCTCCTTTCCAGAAGGGCAGGAGGGGGTCGCTCAGCTCTGTGGCTGAGCAGGGTAGGAGGGGTTGGGATGGTGAACAGGTCCCATGTACTTATGCACTGGGCCTCTGTCTTGGCTTTGGCCTCCAGCTCAGCTGGATCCAGGGTTCATTTGCCCACCACTTTGCCAGACCTCCTCAGTGCTCCAGGGTGGGGGATGGGGAGGGAAGCCAGAGAGGGAGTGCTCTTTGAGGCCTGGCGTGGTGGTGAGCAGTCACCAAGGTAAGGCCAAGGGAAATGGGCAAGGGGACTAAGGGCAGAGGTGAAGAAGGACCCCTGGGCTCGCAGAGGGTCATCAGACCTTGGGGAATTGCAGGCTCTACGTCTTGGGAGAAAGGAGCCTTTGAAAATGTCAGAGTCTTCTGTGTGACTTAAGTGCCATTGATTCAGGAGAAGGCTGGAAGATGGGCTAGGCCAGTTGATCCCTCTGGGCTCCTCTCGCCATGCATTTTTGGTGGAGGTCAATGGGCAAATTCCTAAAGTGGAAGGACCCCAGGGAAGGGCAGAAGGGGCTCTCCCAGGACCCTGCTTTGAGCAATGCTCGTGTCTGGGCTTGTCCTCACATCCCTGGGGGAGACGCCCCACAGCGTTGGGCCTTTCTCTGTCTTCCCCACCCTCCTCTGATAGTTTGCCCCGCTGCTGGCCTCCCTATCCTTGCCCGCCCTGATCTGCAGAGGAACAGGGAGTGGTTTGGCGGTTGGCACGGGGGAGCTGTTGATGGCATGAGGCCCTATCATCTGACAGCTGCCTGACCCACGGTGGGAAGGGCCCTGGGGAGGTGCTGGGACAGCAGGAGGCGTGTAGGCAGCCGCACTTCTGTGGGGAGCCCACCGCCACCACCGCCTTGCTCCCCACCCCCCCACCCTGGGCAGCCCTGCAAGGCCAGCCCTACGAGGCGGAGGCATTCCTGGGGCTGCACGGCCTGTCTGGATGGAGTGGGAGCATGCCACTTAAATTAGTGGGGAAGGCTCTGTTCAAGGTATGCGTGGGTCCCACGGGCACAGAGTGCACCTGTTGGGGAGGGACTCTTGTCCAAGTCTATGATATTTCTGGGGCTGGGATGTGGGTCAGAAATTAATTTTTGTGTGTCCCTATTACGGAGGATGAACTAACTTAATGCACACAGAACATATAATATGTGCTCAATAAATATTAGCCATTCTTATTCCTGTTATTTTGACTAAGGGCCAGGAGGTGGGCTGGGATTTGTTTGTTTGTTTTCTTTTTTTTTGATTCCTACCCCCCGACCCATGACAGATGCTCTGGTCCCATTTTTTAGATGGGAAAACAGAGACTTGAAGGGGCTCAGTGACTTGATGAGTGCCTTCTCCATCCTTTCCTGGGTCTGCTGCTTGGATCTGGTATTACCCGGCTCTCCCAACCCTTGGCCAGGGGATGCTGTGTGAGCCAAACCTTTTACAATGGCCTGAGCACATTTATAAGCCAAGTCCTAATGCCGCTGCTTCCCACAACCCCAGCCTGGGCCAGACATAGCTTGTCAGGGGAAGCTGCAGCAAGAGAGAGTGAAGTTAGACATCATGATGAACTTTTTGATGCGACAGTGGGTATGACCTTGGTCCTCAGAAAGAAAGAACTGGCCCTTTAGTTGGGACAAGAGGTTTTTTCAGAAGAAAATTTTGTTGATTTGGGATGAGTGTGTGTTTGTGTCTGTGTGCCAGGGTGGGTAAAGGTTGTGTCCTGTCTGGATAGGGGACGAGGGACAACATGAATTTTGGTTTAGCCAGTCTAGTGAAGGGAGCAGGTTCTAGGATGGCCTGTGTACTGCAGAGGAGGGAAGACCTAATCTTTAAAGTTCCCGGACATCTGTCCCAGTTTGGGTGCTCTCAGGGTCATTCGTCCATGCCCCCGCCCAGCCAGGGGGGCCCCCCGCTGCAGTCTGCCCTGAGTGAGGAGACCTGTTTCAGAGGCTGCGCCGTTGCAACCCTGGGCCTCCTGGCGTGATAGTGTGCCTGTTCGTTGAGCTGTTTTCCTGTCTCTGGCCTGTGGCCCAGGACTCACAGGGCAGGAATGGCTGTTTTCCTCTAGCAGGGTTGGTGTGTAGAGAGGTTTGTGGATGGTGTGCTGTGTCGCACTTTGTTTTGGAAAAATCCAGGCTGGTGGGCAGGAAGGAGAGAGGAAGGGGTGTGGCTGGAGGGACTGGTGGGGGTGGGAGGGTTGGCCACAGCCCCCGGAGGAGAGGTAGGAATGGGGACGGGCCCCTGACGTAGATTGGGCACCAATTTCTGGCTGCCTGACATGGCCCCTGGTGTTTCTTACAGACCCTCCTCCCAACTGGGCCCCCTCGGGACTGGGGCTCAGGAAACGCCTTTTCTTTTGGTCCAGAGCTGTTGTGTTTGGTCTGTGGACCTCAAAGGCAAGCAGGACTCTTCCCACACAGTCGTTTTGCTTTAAACCAACCCCGCCCAAGTCCTGGGGTTCCCACTCCTCGCTGCTGGTGGAGAAGGCAAGATTGGAGCCTAGGGCCACAGACCTTGAGCCACTCGGGAGTGTCTGGGTGGTGGTCCACAGGGAGGGCCAAGGCAAAAAGAGTTGGGTGGATCTGCAGGAGGAAGGGTAAGGGTTAGACACCAGGAGGAACTTCCGGATAGTGAGAGAAGCAAGACACTGTTTTGGCGGGGGTGGGGTGGAATTTCCTTTCATGCTGTTCTCTTCTTGAAACAGAGACCACGGTTTGGTGATGACTGTAGGGGAGAGTTCTTGGTGCCTAGGGAGTTGAATCAAAGCTGTATTACTGATCTCTGTCTTGGGAGGGGCCGGGAGGAAGTTGAAGCCTGGTGGGCAAAGGGCTTTGACAGCCCCAGAGAGGAGAAGAATGGGGTTACTGGCGGACAGAGAACTTATTTTCTTTTTAAAATAAAATCTTCGTAGTACTCTTTGTAAAGCCCTCTGGTAGTTTCCCCTGGACGCTTTAGGTTGGAACAGGTAAATCCCATGAAATCCCATGGGCGCTGTGCTATACCCATTTTGAACAGGGAAGAACAGAATGGTCGCTTCTTGAAGAGTGTCTTCCTTCATGGAAGAGAAGTTCTCCGAGGTCGGGGACTTGGCCTCCTCTGGTCCCCAGTGCCTAGCACGTCGCCTGGCACACAGCTGGTGGTCCTTGGTGAGGGCTTTTGGGATGAGGGATCGAGCACTGTGATGGGCAGCAGAGATGACCAATGTGTCCACTCACTCCCAGCCTCTTAGCAAGGGCCTGTGTGGTGAGGTGCATAGCAGTGGGGGGCCCATCTCTGGCCTCCTGTGTGAGATCACCTGTGTGTTTTGGAGCATTAGGTTGTGCTTGCTCACACCCCGCCCCCCCCCACCCCTGCAACGAACAGCGTGTGATTCTCCACGTCCACTAGACTCAGACTTGTCACCCGTCTATGTCTGCTTTCTGCCAGTGAGTGTCACATGTCCCCAAACTCTGCGGAAAACAGGAAGCCCCGTCAGTTAGAGGACAGCCCAGTGATTCAACAGGGGATGACCATCCAGCTGTTCCCATCCCCGTCATCTGGTGGGGTCACGGCCCAGGGCAGCTTCCTCCTGTGCCTCCCCTGCCCTGGCCAGCCTGGTGGAGCAGAGCAGGCTTGGACTTTGTCTTATCACCTCTGGAGGCGGCATGGCCAGACTCTGTTGGGGCCAAGTTTTTATTTATCTTTCCTGGCTTTTTTGGTGTGGGGAGGCTGAGGAATGTGGAGTGTTGTAACATTGGGAAGGGGGGGTGGAGAAATGGGATCCAGCTCTCCTGCCCCATTCTTCCTTTTCACCCCTGCTCCCCAGGAAGCTCCTGGCTCCCCTTGGCTCCCCAGTCCCCTCGCCAAGCCGGTCTCAATATCGCATTGTCTCCCTGTGGCTCCGTGGGCTGGGACCCGTGGCCTTGGCCACACCTCAAGCCTCGGCTACAGCTGTGGCTTCCAGTGTTTGAGGCAGCTGTGGTGGCCTCCTCCAAACGTGGCTGTGGGTCGGTAGCAGATGAAACCCGAGGGGCTATTTATAGCAGGGTGGCCCTGGGGCCTGGAGCAGGGCCTAGGGCCTGGGGAGGTTCAGCGACTCCTCATCAGGGACCAGTGAAATCAAGACGGATGGCGTGTTGGGTCTCTTGTGTTCCTCTGGGTGGATAGTCTTGGAACAGCCTGGTTTGGGGCTTGAAAACCAAACATGATCCCTCCTTACCACCCCCGCGCCCCCACGCCTGACTCATGCAAACCCAAGTCGTCAGGGCCAGGGGGCTGTGGAGACAGAAACTTTCCACCCTGACAGTCCCACTTGGCTGTTCGTTCCTCTCACTGCTGCCACAGAGGCTGAGCAGGGGAGAGCTGGGCCGTGGCCTACAAAGAGGGGGCTCTGAGTGCAGCCTTCTCCTGGGGGGCTGGATGGAGAGCTCTCCTCTTAGCAGGGCTGCCCTGACTTCGGGCTCGGCCGGGAGCCAGGCCTCCAAGCCTACCACCCACCCCTGCCTGGTAGGCGCCGTAGGGCCCTGGGGGAGGCTGGAACTGGCTTTTCTGCTCTGGGCCCCCATGGTCAAACTCAGAGTCTGAGGGTGAATCCTGCTGGTTGTTGACTTCCCTGGGACTTGGGGGTGAGTCACTGTGCCTCAGTTTCTCCTCTTCTTGGCAGACTATGGTCCTGTCTCCTCCAAGAGGTGGCTGCAACTTGGTGGTTGGGAAAGGCTGGGAGGCATGGGGAGGTTTGGAAGGCGCCAGAGGGCTCAAAGGGCTCTGGCTGGGCCTGGGAACTAGAAGCTGGGTGTTTGTGCATCAGGTGAGATGAGATAGCTGACAGGGTGGGCAGCAGCTGTGATACTGGGCTTTGATTTTCTATAGAGGTGAATGTTGGTTGTATCTCTACGCTTTTAATTGTGTCAGATGTAGTAACAGTAACACTGTATAAGTGCCCCATATGCATACTTCTTTTAAATCTTCAAACCACTTGGTAAGGATTGCCCCATTGTCCGTGTGACGTTAGGGAGGCTCGGAGTGTTAAGGGCAGGGTTGCGGGGCGGGATGCTGGGGGACCCCGGCTCTGCGCTTTCATCCTTGTACCATCGGGTTGTCCTGGGCTGTTTGGGACCCCAGCATGGGTCCATTTGCCTAATTTTGTGCAAGTGGACCACCCCGGAGATGGGTGAGGGGGTGACAGACAAGGGGCGGCGGGTCCTTGGGAGCATGATTTGCTGCCTGGCACTGGCCCTGGCTGCTACATGCCACGTGGTCCCTGGCTGCTCTGGACCCACAACTCTTGATTGAATGGCTCAGTGGTGCTGCTTTGAAGGGGAGGAGTGCGGGGAGATGGTGGTCGGCCGACAAAGGTTCAGAGCCGGGCAGAGGGCTGCCGCACCAGCCTTTCCTTCTTTGAGGCTTGCAGTCTGTATGCTCCCCTCGGGCTTACTGTTAACGCTGTCCAGTGAATCAAGACGAAATGTGTTTCCATCCATTTAGTAACTGTTTTATTGCATGTGTGGACTCTGTGGATGGTGCCAGCCCAGACTGCTCTCAGCATTTGGGATTTCTTCCTTCCCTGGGGAAGGAAAAGCTAAGCCCTTTGGGGGCTTGCATGCACACTCCCAAGGAATTGGCACTGATGGCCTTTGGCTTTAAGTTGCTGTGTTGCCTGGGTGTTAGGGGGCCTGGGCTGGAATGTTGGCAGAGAAAGGAGGAGGGAATCTGTGTCCACAGCCCCGACTGCTCCCGTGGCCGGCTCTCCGCTGGCCCCCTCCATAATGCTGCTTTTCCTTTCTCTGTCCCAGGGCTCCTCCAGAGTCACCCCGAGTGTCCAGCCCCATCCCCAGCCTATCAGGTATGCCTGGCCTATGGGGGGCAAGGGGTGGGGGTGCCGCAGTGAGGTCACTGTGGGTGTTTCCAGCAAGTCATACCTTTGGGTTTCTGAGCCCGAAGTCATAAAGCCACAGGTAGGGAGCATGGGGAGACATGCCAGCCACAGAGAGAGGATGCAGGTGGATGCCGCTTGGAAATGCTCGTGTTTTGATTTCTAGCTCGAAGCCAGGCCTTGAGCTGGATTCTTTATGTCCCTGCACGATCCCATCTAGTCCTTGCAACAACCGTGCAAGGTAAGTATTTTATTCCTATTCAGCAGATGAAGAAACTGTCTCAGGGAGGTAAGGTGACTTGTTAAAGGTCACGCAGCCACCAGGAGGCAAGACTTGGGTGTGCCTTCGGACTGGCAGGTGTCAAGGCCCGTGCTAGATCCAGGTCCTCTTCATGGGCAGGGGTTTTTGATGTTGGAGGGTCATTTCTAAAAGGAAAGTTCTCTATCTGGCTGGCTGGCAGGGGCTGGGGGAGGGGATGCATGAAGACTCAGTCCCTTGCTGATCCAGTGTCTCTTTTCCCTGCGTCCGGGTTCTATGGTTTTCTGGCTCAGGCTCTTCTCTCTCTGCCTCACCTCCATTCCTGAGGCTCCCGAGATGAGTGAGAATCTGGCCCCAGGGAAATGGAGCCCCGGCCAGAGAAGGCTGGTGTGTAGCTAAACCCAGTGGGTTGTGGCCCAGCGGCCCATAGACTGGGGTGGCCCTTTGGAGAATCCCCTTCTACCCTTACAGCTGAGAACCACTTTGGGGTGGGTGGGTGCAGGGCGCAATGCTGAAGTTGTCCAGGCGGTGGCACTGTTCTGCCTTAGGATGCCACCTCCGCCCCCACCGCCCGCCACTGGCCCCCGAAAGGCTGCAGTGAGGAACCTTATCTTAGGGACAAGGAGTGGTGGGGGCTCAGAGGTTAAATTCAAACCGGGCTCCCTACCACAGCCTACTGGCCCCTCTACCACTTGGCTCCTGTCCTTGTCTCCATGGAGAAGCCATACATCACCCTTGGCTCCCTGAACTCCAAGCCCCGTCTACACACTTGGGCTCAGAGTTAACCCTGGTGGACATCTGGATGTGCCGCCCCATCTCTTTGAAATACCCTGGTGGTATTCTCCACTGCCCCCCAGTCTCCCCTTTACCCTGCTATAGTCAAAGATTCTCAAAAGGAAATGTGAGTGTGGACCACCTTGGATAGACGGGAAGTGAGACAGTAGCGGGTTGGTGATAGGGTAAGAAAGTGTGGGGGTAGGAAAGGTGTGAGGTGCCCCAGAAGCTGCAGGTGCACCTCAGAATGGAATTTCAGTGTCCTGACACCCATTTCCCCTTTCTGGGCCCTCGTGCTGGGAGAGAAGCTGGGTGAGGTGTAAAGGTGTGAACCCCTACCTCCCCTTACCCAGAGCCCAGCCCAGGGGCTTCCCACCTCTTTTAGGAGCTCAGATGGCACTGGGATTTCTGGGGGCCACTTGCCATGGCAGCAGCAAAGGCTCAGCACCCTCTGTTTCCTGGGCCCTTAGAAATCAGGGAGGCCACTGCCAAGAAATAGCCCTGGCAGGCAGTGGAAGCTGCCAGAGGTGGGGGAGAGCCAGGGAACAAAGGGCAGGAGCTGGCCTGCCTCCGGGGAGGGCTGGAATGTGCACTGTGGTCTGGCTTACCTGGAGCCCAGGTGAGCGTGTCACCTGAGCTGCCTTTTCCCCTGAGAAGCCTCCCCACCTACTCTACAGCTTGGGAGCAAGGGGAGGGCAGCCCAGTGCTCAGCCCTGGGATGCCGGAGAGCACCCAGCTCAGGCTCTCCTTCCTCTTCAAAATCTATCCCGGGATCCTTTGAGAGACTACTGCCAGACCAGGTGGCCGCAGTGTGTCGGGAGGCTGAGCTGGACTCCCGGGCTCCTAGCTGGCTCCCGTCCTGGCCCTGACCTCTAGGATCGCAGGCTGAAGGCAGGGCCAACAGGATGGATGGGCACTTAGGATTGTTGTCATGACTGAAATGGCCCAAGATCCTGCCAGCCCCTGGCCAGGTACTCCCAGGCTCCCAGGCTCCCAGGCTGGCCTTGCTGGCTGCCTGGGCCTTGCTAGGGGAGGCCTCTGGCCTTGGCTCTGGGTCAGGGAAGAGCCAAGCCTCCTGGGTTGGAATTGTGGGACCCATGTGGTGTGTAGGAGGTACAGCTACCTGAACCTTGCCCTGAGGAGCTGGCTTCTGATCTGGACCCCCTTCTGCCTCCTGTCTGTCCAGAAACATGAGCGTGAGCCGGACCATGGAGGACAGCTGTGAGCTGGACCTGGTGTACGTCACGGAGAGGATCATCGCCGTCTCCTTCCCCAGCACAGCCAACGAGGAGAACTTCCGGAGCAACCTCCGAGAGGTGGCCCAGATGCTCAAGTCCAAACATGGCGGCAGCTACCTGGTGAGGGTGGGGTCCGGTGCCCCCTGTCCTTTCTCCTCGCCACCTCCTTGCTTCTGGTGTCCCCCAGGGCCAACTCCTGCTCTTCCTCTTCCCGTGAGTTACGTGCCTCGCTCATGGCCTGAGTCTGCACTCACTCTCCGGCCCCACTTTGCTGGGAGGATTGTGTCTGCCGCTGGAATGCAGCATCTGGACCCAAGTCACGTGTGCACGTGTGCCTGTGTGTGCGTGTGTGTATATGTGTGCGTTGAGGGATTCACGTTCTCGAGCGCTCCCTACGAGGCAGGCCCTGTTCTAACTGCTCTCTATGTGTTTAACTGCACGCTAGCCCTAGAAATCAGGTTTCGCCGGAGTGCGGAGAGGTGGGGTGTCTGCCTCAGGTGACTGCGTCTGGAAGTGGCAGAACTGAGGTCTGAGGGCATGTAGTGGCAACGTGCATCTTACAGGACCTTGTGTGGCTGGCACTGGGGCGGTGCCTGGCCCAGAAGCACCTTCCTGACGTGGATGAGGTGGTTGGCAGTTCTTCTGTACTCTCAGAGAGCTGGCATGGGGATTGGCCCCAGAGGAGAGCTCAGTTCCACGTTACAAGGAAGCACCTGTGGGGTTGGGCTGGACCCACCAACCAGACGGTGCAGGCTCGAAGCCCTGCCCTGAGGTTTGAGCCGAGGCAGGCTGTGGGAGGCCATCTTAGGTCCCTAGGCCTGCTGTAACACAGGACCACAAACTGAGGGTCTGGAAACAACAGAATTCATTTTTTTCACAGCTCTGGAGGCTAGAAGTCCAAATCAAGGTGTTGGCAGGGCCATGCCCCTTCCTGGTGTCTGGTGCCTCCCAGCAATCCTTGGTGACCTTGGCTTGTAGCTCCATCACTCCCGTCTCTGCCTCTGTCCTGGTGTCTCTCTGTGGCTCCTCTCCTCATCTTATAAGGACACCAGGCATCGGACCTAGGGCCCGCCCTAAATCCAGGATGATCTCATCTTGAGATCCTTAAGTACTTACATCAGCAAAGGCTCTGTTTCCAAATAAGGTCACATTGTGAAGTTCCAGGTGGATATGAATTTTTGTGGGATGCTATGAACCCACCACGGAGACCTGTCCATCAGTTGTGTTGGGCATTGTTGAGGGCTCTAGATTCAGACATCGGAGAGTCCTGGGTTTGAATGCCGGCTCTGCTCTTACCATCTGACTTGGCCACTTCACCCCACTAAACCTTAGGTCCTGCATCTGTAAAATGGGTCTGATTACACCACCTACCTCTTGTGGTGGTTGAGAGAAGTAAGTTGACATGTGAAGTGGAAACTAGAGATGGCCAAATACTTATCAGTTAACAACACTGTGATTCCTGTTCAGGATGCGAAGATGCCCACCTTGTGGGTGGCATGTGGGACCCGAGACAGACTGCATCCCCTTCTCATCTGCAGTCCTGGGCGTCTGTCCACTCACTGAGGGCAGTGGCCATGTCTACCTACTTCCTTCACCTCCTTACCCTGAGAACCTATAGCTGAGTTCTTGTTGGCCAGTGTGTGTGTGTGTCCGATGGGACACCATTATAAGCTCTTGCACGGGTAGAATTTTCACCGAGGGGGGCATGCGGGTAGAGGAGACAGAGAGAGAGACAGAGAGACAGGGAGACAGCAAGCATTGTCTTACAATCTCTTCCTTTCCCTCCTTCTAGCTTTTCAACCTCTCTGAGCGGAGGCCTGACATCACGAAGCTCCACACCAAGGTGAGCTGATGCCGATCAGGGGTGGGGGCTTCCCGTTGCCTGAAAGAGAAGTAGAACAGCTGGGCTCCCTCTCCCTGTGGTCCCCACTTTAGAATCTGGGGGGAAGTGCTGAGACACTTCACAAAGCCTCTTCCGTGTCTGTGTCATCTTCTATTTGGAACAAGGAAAAGCCCGTATTTATTGTTTTTGCAATACAAATTTCAGAGATCCAAGCTTGATACAGCGATTTCCTACCCAGGTCTGCCCCCCTGGGGTGCACATAGTATCTCTGGGGTAAGGCTGGAGCTATGAGATTTCTAGCCTTGTTGAAAAGCACTTTGGATTTAAACTGGCCCGGGATTGCCAACGGCCCATTTCCACTTGCTGGCTCGGCGGGCTGAGTGCAGGCTTTGCGCGGATGTCTGCTCTGGTGCCTGGATTCTGGTACCTGTTGCTTTGTGCCCTAGGCAGGTGACAGTTCTCTGGGCCTCAGTTTGCACCTCTGAAACGGGATGGGCTAGATTAGATGAGCTCTCTCGGCTCTTCAGGGCATGAATTCTCTTTCCGTTTAACGATCTGTGAGTTAAGAAAAGTTTCGAGGAGCCTGAAGCCTGCCGTTCGGATCTGCCCTCTGTCCCCTTCAGGCTTCTCCCTCGGCCAGCCTGAAAAATCAATGGTTTGTGTGTCCGGGCCTGGAAAAGAGCTGTGAACTCCTGGGGGCCCTTCACTTTCCCTCTTTGTCCCTTAACCCCGGGCTTGGGGTTGTCTATGGGAGGAGAGTTTGGGAGAAATGCTCGGGGGTACATTTTGAAGTCAGAGTCATGTGGAACGGACCTTGGGGTCATCAGCTTTACACACATTTGGGGAAACTGAGGCCAGGACAGGGGCCATGACTTGCCAGAGCCCCCAGAGCGAGGCAGTGTCAGAGCAGAGACTCAGAGACCCAGGGTCTCTGGTCCTGGGCCAGTGTCCTCTGCGTCCACACCATTGACTCCCCTTTGGGCTGATGGGCAGGGCAGGAAGCAAGGTGGGTGGGTGGCTGGTGCCGTGGCACCTGCGTGTGGGGTATGTGCCGCCCGCCCCCCCCCCCCCACCTCTCAGCTCTGATCGACTCTCTGGGGCTTCCGCCCCTTCTCACTCATGGCTTGGACCACAGGTACTGGAATTTGGCTGGCCTGACCTTCACACCCCAGCCCTGGAGAAGATCTGCAGCGTCTGCAAGGCCATGGACACTTGGCTCAATGCAGACCCTCACAACATCGTCGTTCTACACAATAAGGTCAGAGCGGGGGGCCGCCTGTGTGCGCGCACGTGCATAGATGTGTCCTTGGATGAGTGTGTGTACCTGACCGTATCATTGGATTGTGTGAGCGTGCAAGCCTATGTGCATTCTCTTTCCTAGGAGATAGTAGATTCTGTCCCAGGGGGCCCCCCCACACCAAGAAATGGGTAGTTATGAGCTCGTGGGGCCCTCAAGTGTAGTGGGTGATCAGCTGTGTTTCTTCTCTTTGAGACTTAGCCTGACCTGCCTCCCTCCCTTGCATCCCCCTCACCCATCCTGTTCTCCCTGAGAACCACAGCCCTCTCTCCAGCCACTGCCCCCTTTTTCCTCCGGGCTTCTGCAAGGGCTGACCTTAGAAGTAAAGTCTGTGTTTGGGGTTCTTTTAGGGAAACCGAGGCAGGATCGGCGTTGTCATTGCTGCTTACATGCACTACAGCAACATTTCTGCTAGGTAAGAGCCTGAGTACTGACAGTGGGAACCCCCTCTGGCCATCCCCCCGTGACTGCTCCCTTCCTTGGGGTTGAGGGGTGCTGAGGATCAGCGGGAGGAACCTACAGCTCCGAAGCAGGTGGCTGTGCATGGGGGGTGGGAGAAAGGAGAGTCCCTCCCTCTACTGGGAGCACTAGTGGGAGCAGCCTTGGGAGGCAGGCCCATCTAGGGACACCCCATCCAGCCACCTTCTCCGGGCCACTTTTCCTTGGTGAAAGGCCTTCTGTTTCCCTGAGTGAGCTGGAGAGGGAGTCAAAAAGAAATGTTGGAGGGCAGATCTGGGTCTGGCAGAACCATCTAGAAGTTATCTCATCCTTGTGGGCCTTGATAAGGACTTTGGGGTTTGGGATGGGATGTCATTGGACAGTCAAGAACAGAGGGGCTACATCAGCTGTCTCTTCTTTTAAAAATGATCTCTTTGCGGATAGATAGAATGTTCTGTAGAGCCTTAGATGGTAATTTTGTGACTTTAAGAAAATCTAGCCGAATGTTCCCTTCATGGTGAACATTTCCTGTACACCTACTGTGTGCCCACAGCTTTTTATGGATGGTGTTATTTCACTTAATTGCTGTAACAACCTTCAAGGAAGGCCCTTGTCACTCACCTTTGACAGGAAGGGAAATCAGGTTCAGAAAGATTAAATAACCTGATTCAGGACACAAGGCTAATAAGTAAGTGGCAGACTTGCTATGGGAACCCAGGCTGTCTGGCTCCAAAGCCCCTTCACTGAGTCCTGCAGCACACAGGATGTAGAGATGCTGGGGCACCCTTTTCCTGAAAGCTTCTTAGCATAGGGTGGCTGGAGGGCTCCACAGGTCTAGGGGAGCAGGGGTGGGGAGACAAGGGGCTCTCGGACATAAAAGTTGGCTCCTCTGACCACCCGTCTCTCCCTGCAGCGCTGATCAGGCCCTGGACCGGTTTGCAATGAAGCGGTTCTATGAGGATAAGATTGTGCCGATTGGTCAGCCATCCCAGAGAAGGTGGGTCTCCAGGGCTTACAGCCAGTGCATGCACGTGTGTGTGTGTGTGTGTGTGTGTGCGTGTGCATGCTTGCTATCTTGGGGACTGGCCTTATGCACCCACAGGGGATGGAACAGCCATGCCTAGGTGGGGGTGTACCGAACATGCATATTCCGGTGCCAACCTGGAGTGGTGTGAGCTCAGGGACATGGGTGAACCCATGGGCCGCTGTGTGCACCTACAGGAGGGCATGGCACTTGGCTCCTGAGGCCAATGCTGGAGAGCAGTGGGGATTGGTGGGGGACACATTGGTCTGGGTGCAAGAAGGCAGTTTGTATAAGAAGGCAGTGCTATTTCTTGGTCCTGGAAGCAGGACTGCTTCCATGCATGGGTGAGCCTTTAGGAGGCTGATGTCATTGCTACCTGCCCTGGGGAGGTCACAGATTCTTACCATAAGGGTCATCTTCTGGATGAGCTTTGAAAATTTAACCAAGGGCTCTCAAGCACATGGTCTCATTGGAGTCCACAGCAGCCCAGGCAGAGAGCAGGGCAGAGACGATTCATTCATTCACTGGACAAGTTTTAGGTGCTCTACTACATTCCAAGTGCTAGAGATATCTAGTTGAACAGGACAAAGTGCTTTGCCTTCAGTGAGCTGATATCCCCTTGAGAAAGATGGACATCACACAAGTAAGTAGACCAATAGGACCATTTCCGTAGTGGCTAGTGCTAGGAAGGAAAGTGAACAGAGGGGGATAGACCTGATGGAGGAGATTGGGGCTATTTAATGAAGGGGGTCAGGGAACACCTGTCAGAGGTGGTGGATTTGAGGCTGAACCTGAGTAATAATGACAACTACCGTATGACCGTCCAGGGCATCCCCATTTTACAGATGAGAAGCCTGAGCCTCATCTGTAAAGGGGAGGGGACTCAGCATGGCCAGGATCCACAGCGAGTAGCAGCAGAACTGGAAGGTACTTGGGGGCCTGTAACTCAGGCCAGGCCAGGACACCGCCCTCCCCCTCCCGGGGTTGTGCCACCCCCAGTCCTGAGGGCTGGATTCTGCTCTGTGGATAACGTGCTGTGTAATGATGTCTGGTCCACAGGTGAGCACAGGTAGAATCAGGGCTGGTGGGCTGTGGGGAGGCTGCAGGTGAGTGCGAGGCAGAAGCCCAGGCCCAGAGGGGAGACCTGGAGATGGGGAATGGGGCCCAGCCCCCGTGTGGCCAGAGCGGTGGGCCTTCCGCACGCCTGTGATGTGCCACACGGCTCTGTGCGCTGCAGCCACGGGGCTGACCATTTCAGCAGGACACGAGCCATCAACATACTCTCAGGTCATGAGAAGTACTTGGAAGGGGGAAAAAACCCAAACAGCACGTGATGGCTTCAAGAGTGATGGGGTGGGCATGAGGGCTGAACTCTCAGAGAAGGTGACGTGTGGGGCGAGCTCTGAGGGGAGGAAGGAAGCATCTGAGTGCAGGTCTGCCGTGACCACGCAGAGGGAACAGCAAGTAGGCTGGCCCAGGGGCCAAAGCATCCCCCTGACTTTTCTAGCCCCTCAGGACGCTGACCAGGCCAGCAGGAGCCCCTGGCCTCTCCATGCTGGGGTTCCCCATTTATCCCCCATCACCCCCACCTTGCTTAGAAGGCTGTTGGCTCCACCTGTGAGTGTGTTTGCCATTGTAGTGGGAAGCCCAAGCAGAAGTGAGTGCTCAGGCCACCCAGTGCCTTCCACCGGCACAGGACAGCTGGGAGCCGGTCTCAGGGTCAGCCATCAGAAACCAGATGTCCATGTACAGAAAATGCTGGCTGGGCTGCCCGACGCAGTAGCTGGGGATCAGAGAGCCTTCCCGGGGAGGAACGAGCAGTCGTTCAAGTACCCGCTGGCTGCATATGACTGGTGGCCTTGGTCACGAGTCTGACCGTGAAGGATGAGGAGCGCGATGTGGCTTGGAGAGAGTGGGCCAAGCAGCCACGTCCCCAAAGCTGAAGGCCTGGGGAACGGGATCCGTGTCCTCTCTCAGCAAGTAGAGTGTTCCGGGACTCCACAATGTGCACTGCGCTCACACAGCATGCAGCTGTGGGGGGGGGGGGCAGTGTTTATGTTATCTGTCCTCCTGGCAGCTTGTATTTGCAAATGCATCTGCTTATGGGTGGGTCATTCTGTCCGGGCCCGTGTGTGAAAGTACGGCTGCTGGCTTCGTTACGTATTTGTTGTCACTTTCCCGCCTTCTGGGCAGTGTCATTTGTAGGCGATAGAGCAGCTGGGGGAGAGGTGGGCAGAGAGGCAGAGGGAGGGAGGGGCTTTGCCTGCGACTCCCCTATTCATTGTCACCCCACCCCTGGACTCATTGTCCCCAGCACACAGACACATCCTGTTGGCATGATCCAGAGATCTGATAGGAACCGCCATTCCAGGTTTCCGGTTTGAGTAATGGGGCTGGGGGCTGGGCAGGGGCTAAATAGGAACTGGTGCTGCCCATCAGATTATCTGGCTTGGGTAGTGTGAGGTGGCCCCACCCGGGCCCAGGGACAGAGGCCCACAGGCCTGGAGGTGGGCCAAGGAGCCAAGAGGCAGGAGGGGACCGTTGTCATGGTCATGTGGGTTCTGGTTCCAGTAGCCTCCGAGAGCCCCCTTGCCCCTCACGGAGTCTCAGGATTCATTCTGATTCATCTGGCTGGCCCAGCTCAGTGTCCTCTGGCCATTCAGAAAAGGAGGACGCATCGACCGATCCCCAGCAAAAGAACTGACCTCTCTTTCTGGCAGGTGCACTGAAGTTCAGACTGCTTTCCTTCTCTCCCTGTCCACTCCCAGCTTTGTATGTTCTTGCTATGTGTCAGCAACTCTTTCGGGACCCAGTTTCCCTTCTCTTCTAGAAGGAGTGGAGATGGGTTAATTCTTGAATTTTTCCAATAAGATCCAAAAAGAATGGGGGAGTGTTGACCCTAGATATAGGAATGCTTAGTGGGAGTTGGATGTCTTTCAATACCACATACAGAGGGCTTTCATACACTTCAGTGTGATGTAAAAAAGTGAAGGACTCTAATTATTAAGCTCTTACTGTTTGTTGGACGGTCGTGTGGCTGGTGGATGGGTCAGGGCAGAACTGGGGCCTTGGGTATAAGCGTAAGCTTGGTTTAAGCTCAGTGTGAGGGTGTTAGAGATGTTTGATGGTTGATCAGCCTGCCTTGTGCAGTAGTGAGCAGCTTAATGATGTGAGGGATGTCAGGGATGTGTGGGAGGAATTTTGGTCCCGTAGGAGATTTTTAGGCTGGGAGTGAAGCTGGAAAGAGATGTTCATGCTGACCATCAGGGGGCGCCAGAGAACCCCCAAACGGGCGTACTGGCTAGACGCAGCTCCTGGTTGAGTCGTACCTGCTCGTTGTCCTCCCAACCTGGGGCTCCGGGCAGCAAGGAAGGACTGTGCTGGGGTGGAGGCCCCCGGTTCCAGGAGGCCTAGGAGAGTGGTGGGGGGTGGGCTAGGCGGGGCCAGAAAAGAGACGGGGATGGCTCTGCTCTAGGACGGCTCTCCCCGCTGAAGCTGCCCCTCTCCCTGCCGCCAGGTACGTGCACTACTTCGGTGGCCTGCTCTCTGGCTCCATCAAAATGAACAACAAGCCCTTGTTTCTGCACCACGTGATCATGCACGGCATCCCCAACTTCGAGTCTAAAGGAGGTACCTGCTCGAGCCCTCTGGCTTCCCTCCCCTCCTGTCTCCCATCTTTTTTTCTCAAGAAGCAGCCTGAGGGGATACAAACATAGGTTTGGATTGGAGTCTCCACTGTGCCACCTCCTGAGCTTTCTGTGAGCCCCGGTCTCTTCGTGGGGTGGGTTCTGGTGGTGCCTGCTGGCCCCTGGTGTTGGATGTGGCAATGGGTTTGGTAAACCTAAAAATGCCTCTCAGATGAAAAGCTAGTATTTCTTCCTCCTTTCTCTTTTCATTTCTCCTTCCTACCTCTCCTCTCCGCAGCCCTTCCTTCCTTCCCCCTCTCCCCCATACCGTCCACGCTAACACCACCCTCCCTTACAGGGTGTCGGCCCTTTCTCCGGATCTACCAGGCCATGCAGCCTGTCTACACGTCTGGCATCTAGTAGGTATTCCATGGGAATGAGAGGCCTGGGATGCCGGAGCCCGAGGCCGAAGACCAGGGACAAGGGTGTGGGGGGATGGGCCAGGACCTCTTCTAGGAGGATCTCATCTGACAGAGGGCTGAAGGACAGAGGCAGCAAGCCTTCCCAGGAGCCCTCTGGCAGGAGGAGAAGGGATCAAGCGCACTGCCCGCCCCCCTCAGCAGCTCTCTTTTTCTCCGCTCGCCTCCCCCGTAGCAATGTCCAAGGAGACAGCCAGACCAGCATCTGCATCACCATCGAGCCCGGACTGCTCTTGAAGGGAGACATCTTGGTGAGTGCTGCCCCTCTGTCTCAAGCCCCCTCCTCCCTGTTTATTTCTTCTGTCTTCCTGCTCTCCTCCTGCCTCCCCAGACAAGATTGTCACTCCTGTGGGTCACCAGCCTTGGGGCCATAGGCCCTCAGGCCTCCTGCAAGCCCTTCCTCTGCCTCAGAGCAGGACATCCCTTCTTCTGCGCTTGTCTCTTGCTCTAGAATATCTCCAGGGAAATATCTGTCAGTGTGAGCTGTTACCTCCTTGCTTCCTGTGGTGACAGGACTCCCTCAATTCTAATTTCAGTGTTTCCTCCTGCAATTTAAATTCACTCCTACTTTTTCCATTCTGTGCGTAGGAACTTCTTGGGAGGACAGTTTTGTTCCCACAGGGTGAGATTGGCCTCCAACATTCTGCTTTTTAGAAGTTTCCCCAGATAGCTCTGAGATCCTGTTTGGTATTGGTGACCTCTCCCTCATTAGATTTGGGCGAGCCCTGGGGTCTCAGTCATGGAGCTAATAAGGAGACTCCTTGAGATCTGATTTCCCCTCCTCGGGCCCCTGATGGGCTCTGCTCTCCTTCCCACCTAGCTGAAGTGCTACCACAAGAAGTTCCGGAGCCCCGCCCGAGATGTCATCTTCCGAGTGCAGTTCCACACCTGTGCCATCCATGACCTGGGGGTTGTCTTTGGGAAGGAAGATCTTGATGATGCCTTCAAAGGTGGGCTCATTGAATAGAGACATAGACCTAGCAAGGAATAATACCACAAAGTAGAAGAGCAATAATGGAGGAGCTATGGCAACAGTGAAGGGGGAACCATTTTTTGAGGGAAGGAAATGTGGTTAGGGAGGTGTCTCCCTTTGCTTCTTTATCTATTTAAGATTTTGTCTGTATCACATTCAGACCTGGGACAATATCCACATCCATTCACCCATTCACTCATCCATCCATCCATCCATCCATCCATCCATCCATCCATCCACCTACTCATCTAAATCCATCCATCATCCATCCATCCATCCATCCATCCATCCATCCATCCAACCCATCCAAATCCATCTATCCATCCATCCATCCATCCATCCATCCATCCATCCAACCATCCATATCCATCCACTCATCCAAATCCATCCATCTATCCACCTACCCATCTGAACCCATCCACTCATCCATCCACCCATCCATCCAAATCCATCCATCCATCCACCAAGAAATACTTGTGGGTCTATGTGTGCCAGGCATGTGCTAGACCCTGGGGATACAAAGAGAAAGAAGTCAGGCCCTACCCTCAGGGAACTCACAGTTCCATGGGAGAAAGAGACACACAAGCGGGGTACAATGAAGTGGTGCTTGCAGTGATGGAGACATGCACAGGCATGATGGGTGGCCACCATTCCTACTGTAACTTCTCTTCTCACAAGCAGTGGATGGTAATCTGTCCAGACTGGGCTTAGGCCAAGACCAGAGAGTAGAGCTGGGGCTCGGGGGGTGGGTGGGGGGGTGGAGAGGAGCCTGACCCCCCCCAAGTGTAGTCTGGCTCATGCAGTAGAAAGATGCTTCTGTGATGAGTTTCTTCTGTACTGGAGCCAGGAGGGCAGAAGCAGAAGATTCCATGATAATTACAGAACAGAATGTAAATGTTATCAGTCTTAACAGGGAAAAATAAAGGGGTAACAGATAACATAAAGGTGGAGTTGGTAGAGGCAGGGGAAAGTAGGGGCACAAACTTTCTCCTCTTACATGGAGGGAGTCAGGGGACACCGTTGAAAATGGACAGCTCAAGAAATAGAGGCTTAGCTATAGTATTAAGTAAGAAATTAAGTATTAAGTAAGAAATACTACTACTACTACTAGATTTAATAAGAAGGGAGGTGGGAGTGATATTAGTGGGCCAAATTCATTATCTTCATGGTGGTCAATGAATGGAGATTACTTGAAATCGGTATATAAGGAAATGGTGGCATAAAAATAGTGGCTATTATTTAGAGTCTTAGAAGTAACTGCTAGTAGAACAAGAAATAGAAATGGTTGGGAATGGTTATCTCAGGCAAGTAGGACCAGGGCCAAAGGTGGGCAAGAGGCTTATTTCATTATATGTATATGATATTATCAACCATATATATGCATATTATTTTAACCTTCTCCAGAAAGATTAAAGTTGGAGTCCTTTTTGGGAATTAATTGCTCATTTTTGTCTTTCCTTCTCCCTTTTCAGATGATAGATTTCCAGAATATGGCAAAGTAGAATTTGTATTTTCTTATGGACCAGAGAAAATTCAAGGTATAAACTTGTTAGAGTTCATTTTTCACCCCCTTGCCTCCATCCTAACCTGTCCTCTCCCCACCCCCAGCATTCTCCCACTGATGCGCTCTACATCAAGTTACCTATGAATGAGAGGCAGGCCAGCAGTAAAGGATCTGGGTATCACAGTGGACCCCCAGCTAAATGTGAACCAATGACTTATTCTTTGGATAATAAAAATAAAAGAGCTGACCAAGAGGTGCTGGGCTGGATAAACTGTTCTGGTCCCATTAGGTCACCATCCCATTATATTCAGAGACTGAGGCTGTGGCAGATCAAGGGAGTGGCTGAAGGGACATTCAGAGGTACTAGATGGATGAGAAGTATTTATGAAAACTGAGGTGGTTCAACCTGAAGATGAGAAGGCCAATTTAATAATAGCTGTTGGGGGCACCTGGGTGGCTCAGTCGGTTGAGCGACTGCCTTCGGCTCGGGTCATGATCCTGGAGTTCCAGGATCGAGTCCTGCATCGGGCTTCCCGCTCAGCGGGGAGTCTGCTTCTCCCTCTGACCCTCCCTCCTCTCATGTGCTCTCTCTCTCAAATAAATAAATAAAAAATCTTAAAAAAAAATTAAAAAAAAAATAATAGCTGTTAAGCCTTTAGACTGGTTATATGTGGAGACAAAAAAAAATCAAAAAAAAAAGAGAATAGAATGAGACGAGACAAAGTTAGCCTACAGATGGAGGGACTCTGGAAGATTCAAGGAAGGACGGCCAGGTCAGGAAAGGGACTGGCCCTAGGAAGCAGGACGTGCGGCTTGTGCAGTCTTCATCTTTCTGTGGATGTGTAGGAGAGACTGCTTCTCCTCTCACATTTCTGCCTGGAGCCGGGAGCATCTTAAGTGGGAGGCAGGGGAACGGCTAGAATGACCTTGCGTCCTCTCAGTGTCTGGCCGTGATTTCCCTGTTGTCCCTGACCCCATGTTGCTCATCACAAACCTCTTCCCCACTCCCCCTGACTCCAGGGGCAGACTTTCTGGTCTCCTGGAACTGCCCCAGGGGCCTCTGGGACACGGAAAAGGAAGAGGCAGACACCTAGCCAGAGGGCCCCCCAGCTTTCTCCTTCATTCCTCAGGCTCCTGTCTTGATTTACCCCTATAACTGGATATGAGCCTTTTCAAGAATGCAAGAAACCAGGGGCGCCTGGGTGGCTCAGTCGGTTGAGCGTCTGACTCTTGATTTCAGCTCAGGTCATGATCTCAGGGATCTCGTGGGATTGAGCCCCGTGTTGGGCTCCGTGCTGGGCGTGGAGCCTGCTTGGGGGTCTCTCTCTCCTTCGCTCTCTGCTCTGTCCCCCCCACCATAAAACAAAACAAGACAAGAGAAGACTGCAAGAAACCAGACTCCTGGGTTCTCTGTCCACTCTAAGCCCCTGGCTGCACCCCACCATGGTCAGGAAAATGAGAAGCCCCTCAGGGAGCAGCCCTGGGGGAGCTGTTGGCTTCTTCTGTTTTTCCAGCTGCTGATCCTTTTTTATTCCCCCCCTTTCTCTTTGCTGCCCTCCCACCCCATTCCTTCAGGCATGGAACACCTGGAGAACCCCCCCAGCGTGTCGGTGGACTATAACACCTCCGACCCCCTCATCCGCTGGGATTCGTATGACAACTTCGATGGGCATCGAGAGGACGGCCTGGAGGGTAGGTGGCACCCGGGCTTCCAGCTCCCCTCCACGCGGCACTGCCCTGCTCCTGTGGCCTCGGCACTGCTGGTGGGCTGTGGCACCATACGGGGGTTCAGAGTGGAGGCAGAGGACAGGTCCGGGGCACCTGGGAGTGCTCCCAGTTGGGTGGGGGACGATAAGACAAAACAGGAATGTGTGAAATAATGAAGACAGAGCTAAAGAATGCAGCCAAACAGCCACAACGACCTGACTGGCAGAGGAGGGGTTCTTGAGAGCTGGAGTGGCCTGGGAGGGCTCCTTGGAGGAGGGGGCATTGAGTGGCGCTTGACAAAACTCCCGTGCAGCAAACGCAGCACTTTGTTAGATTTCTTTGAAACCTGCTCTCAGATGTTTCCAGGCTCGTGGCCTGACTTCCCTGGGGTCAGAGCACTAGGAATTAGACACAGCATGCAGGGCCTACCAGCTTTCATCAATAGCCAACAAAAATGTTGGAGAGCTGGAAACCGATAAGCTCCAAAATTTGAAAAGTAAGACGCAGTCGAAATTAATGCATGTTTAATTTAGCTAGAAAACCTAGCATTATGTCAAGTGGGCAACTGCAACTCAGTTCAGTCCTTGAGAGTTAGATGTGGGTTGTATTTGTTTGTGTGGTTGATTTGAATGTGGGAGGTGGGGCGGGGCTTCCAAAAGTTAGCATGCCTGGAGCCCAGGAGCCCTTGAGATGCCGGTCTGGGGTTTGGCATAGACTTGCCTTTCTGATTTGGTCCTGGGACTGCAGCATGCGGGAGCTGGAAGGATCCTCAGGACTGTCGGCCCATTCCCCAGTCTTCCGTTGGGGAGAACTTAGACCCTTCCCCCCCTCGAAGGAAGGGTCTTCTGATTTACTCCCACCGCCCAGGATATGTCCTTTCAAGGGCACCAGCTCCCAGCCTCTGGGCTGCAGCTGGTCCTAGGGAGGGGCTGTGCTGTCCAGGGGACTTTGGGCCCTGTGGCAGAGCCGGGTTAGGGAGAGCCAGGCCTGCCGGCCCCCACCTGCTCCCGATCCTCTGCACCCCCCTGCCTCCTTCCACCTTCTTCTCCAGGGTTTTGGATTTGTTGACTCCACCCTGCAAGCCTTCTAGGTCTTTTCTTGAAAAAAGATTCTCCCTCTGACCTTTGAGATACCAGAATGAGTGACAGATTTCAGAGCAAGTGGGATGCGGGCGGTGGTTGGGCTAGAATTTAGGGCTTGATGAGAGCATGTTGTTTACAGGCAGCATTGCAAAGTGGATGGCTTGTCCTCAAGCCTACCTCAGTTCCCGTCCTCCCCATCCTCCCCCCAGAGGCCCAGACACCCCACCCTGCTGAGGTACCGTCCCAAGCCCTCCTCGCCACTGCCTCGGCCCCCTCTGCTGTGCTGAGTGGCTAGGGAGAGGGCAGAGGATGAAATGAATTAGTTCTGAGCTATCAGTGGCTGCCAGCCTAATTGTTCATCCTTCTGGGGATGTTTGCATTTTTAACAAGAGCACTTGGCAATTTGAAGGTATTTTCAATGTGTCCCCATCTCTCCCTGCTGTGGATTCCATGCAATGGTAAATGTAAAAACCTTCCGTAAACTGTTAAGGGGCCAGGGAAACAAAAGGTAAGCCAGTTAGGAGAAAGGAGAGGCTGGGGAAGGCCCGGTGGGGACACAGTGGCCATGAGGGAAGGCAAGGGGCAGACAGCGGAGCAGAGGGGGACCGCAGTGGTGAGAGGCAGGAACGGGGAGGAGGGAGAGGCTGAGCAAGCCCCCGACTCTTCTCTCGTCATCCGTTCCCCCAGGCAGGGGGACGGAACCAGTGGGACTTTGTGGCCAGTGAAAGGTCAGCTCATCCTGCAGGGACAGAGGGGCTCCCGTCTGGAGGCTGAGAAGCCGGCCCGGTGCCCGAAGAGTGGGAAAGGAAGGCAGGGGAAGCAGAAGGAGGCTCTGCTGTCCTTTTCCCTGGCCCGGTCTGTCCTGACTACGGTTGGCCCGGACCGGGAGCTACACGGTTCGGGTGGTCACCGGGACAGACCCTGCCTGTCCGCCACTGCTGGGCTGCATCCCCCACAGGGACAGGAAAGCCAGCTGTGGGGTGGGAGCAGTGATCATTATTCCAATCCTGCTTTTCTTCCTGGCTGGAGGCACTTCTGGAAGGTTCTAGGTTCTGGGGCCCAGAGAGAAAAGCATTTTCTTCTGGCTAATTTTCTTGGTCCAGAGAGGGAAGTAGGAGGCCTGGGCCGGTCTCCTTAGTTGTGGGCAAGACTCTGTGCCTCAGTTTCCCCATGTACTAGTTGGGGTAAGGGCACCTAACCTCCAAGATTCCGGGGTGCTGAGGAGATGGGCTCCAGCTGGAGCCTGGAAGTTACCTGGGGGCTCCCTGGAGTGGCCCTAGGGCTGGGGGGATGGGCTCTGCGGGTATGTGGTACCCAAGGTGGCACTGCCTGCTCCCTGAGGAGGGGGGGGACTGGGAGAGGCAGGCTAAGCCCGAGGTGCTGTAGTAGAGTGGGTGAGCATGTGTGCTTGAGGCCCGACCGCCTGGGTCTGGTCCAGGTCCCAGATGCCCCCCTGTAGCTGAAGGCCTTACTTAGCCTTCCTATGGTCTCAGTTTCCTCTTCTACAGACTTGGGGTGTCATTGGCATAATGTACCCATTTTCATGGAAAGCAGTTTAGGTAGGGGTCCAGAATGTGGCCTCCAGAGCCAAATTATCCAGGTTCAGATCCTTTGACAAGATGCTGTCCTCTCAGGGCTTCAGTTTGCTCTGCTGTGAAAGGGGGATTCAGCCGACAAATCATCTGGAGCACCTTCTGGGGAGTAGGAGCGGGGGCGGTGGCCTGTCGTGGCTCCTCAGGAGTCTCTGACATGTCAGTTGTGACGGTGGCCAGCATCTAAGGCGTCTGCAGACAAGGCTAAGGGGGGGGGCGTTGGCCTTGAGAGTCCCCTCTGGCTTTGCCACGCTCCAGCCGCTGCAAGTGGGGGGGGGACCTAACGCTCACAGCTACTCTGTGAGGTGGGTACTGTTATCGTGCCTGGGTAGGGAAACTGGGGCACAGTGGGGTTCAGTAACCTGCCTGGGTAGGGAAACTGGGGCACAGTGGGGTTCAGTAACCTGCCTGAGTAGGGAAACTGGGGCACAGGGGGGTTCAGTAACCTGCCTGGGTAGGGAAACTGGGGCACAGTGGGGTTCAGTAACCTTTATTGCCTCGCCAGTAAAGAGCAGATCTGGGTGTGGAACCCCAGCGCTAACCACCGTGCTGTTTTGGTAACCACAGATGCCTGTATTCCGGGTGCCAAGTCCCGTGACACTCCCTGGGTGCCACTGAGCTTGGATGAATCTGCCCCCTCCGTCCCCACCTCTCACCACTGGGCCGAGCAGAGGACCCCTGTCCTGAGTCTCAGGGTGAGGGAGGGGTTGGACACAGCGGTACCTGGAGCGTAGCAGCTGGGGGAGCACTGGGCTGGCCCTGCGGCAGGTGCTCAGCTGGGCTTCAGTGCAGGGAAGAGCTGAGGCGCATCCCTTGACGTCCCTACACTGCCACCCGCCTCAGGAGGGTGTGGGGCTGCTCACAGTGTGATGCCCTGGTGAGGGGATGGCCTCGCAAAATAGGTAGTTGTGTCTGAGGTGAGGTGAGGCCATTTCTGGAAGTGGCACACCTCTCCTATTTCAGGCCCGGTGAGGCAGGGGGATCGGAGAGGCTAGGCCAGTCCCTCTGGAGGCCACCGGGTGACTCAGAGGGGAAGCCAGGGGGCGCTGAGCCAGGCACAGGGGAACAGAGAGAGATTATCTCTGGCCTGGGCTGCTCCTCGAGGGCCCTCTGCTTGCCATCAGCCCTCCACCCCCTGTTCCTCCTGCTCCTGCAGGCGACCCTGACTTAACCCTATGTGCTGGGAGCTGTTCTGTGTTTAACCCCTTCCTCGATGCCTGCACCCCCACTCCCCCCCCGCCAGGCCCCCAATTCCCAGTTCAAGTTTCCACCCCCTCAGGACATCGCTGAGCCCCCCCCGCAGCAAAATGAGGGAAGAAAATCCACAGGACTTCTGTTCTCTGGGGTGGCCCAGGCCAGTCATGGAGCCTGTCTGATGCCCCACTCCCACGGTGAGGACCCTGAGGCTCGAGAGGCCGGGGACCTGCCAGAGGAGGAGGAAACCCTCACGCGTGGAGCCCCACTTTGTGTGACCTCCACTCCTGTTGTACTGACCCCATTGCGCCGATGGGTGTCGTGCTGGGGGGGAGGTCATGACATAGGACATGGGGTTGCTGTTGAATCCAGGGTTCTGACTCTGGTGGGGGGGCACCTCCCTCGGAGCTCAGTGTATTCAGCGCTCCACACCCTGTAATTCGGGTGGTCCTTGCAGATGCTTGTCCAACTTGTCACACCTTTAGAGGGCAGAGAGCTCACCACCACGTGCGTCAGGCTGTTTCACTTTGGACAGGTCCAGAAATTGAACCAGAAATAGAGGGAAAAGGGAGAGTTGCTTGTGTGTGGTGGACCATGGATGCTCAGGGACCCTTATGTCTCCTTGCACTCAGGCCAGAAGGAAGGGGAAGTGATGAAAGGTGAAGAATCAGACAGAATCTCAATATCAAGAACTTTCTGACTGGAGAAGGGTCCAGGCCTTGGGACATGTGGCTGGGGAGCAGGGGAAGCACCTGCCATCTCCGGGACTCCTTACATCGGGAGGAGCACCATCTGGTGAACCCCACAGGCTGGTGTCTGAATCTTTGTGGGCGGTCGCAACAAAATCCCACAGACTGTGTGGCTTCACCAGCAGACAGGCATGTTTCCACAGTTCTGGAGGCCAGAAGTCTGGGAGCACAGTGTCAACAGCCCTTGTAGAGGGTGGGGCTTGTAGAGGGTGGGCTTCTCCCTTGCCTCCGTCCTCCCTCTGTGTGCGTCTGCGTCCTGATCCCTTCTTTATAAGGACACCAGTCAGGTGGGACTGAGGGCCCACTCATGCGACCGCGTTTTAACTTAATTACCTCTTTAAAGGCCCTGTTTCCAAATACAGTCCCAT